AACATTAAGCTCAGATAATCCTCAGAACAGATTAGTCGTATTATTCAGTCAAGAATCAAAATGCGCTGTGCTCACAGATGGACTAGCACTCTGACAACCTACATGTTGATATTGCAACAATCTGCTGTGCTGGTTGCTGGGAGACCAAAGAAAGGGATTGCCCTGGATTGAGTACAGCTGACAGACAAAGTCATGAATCTTATTTACTTATGATGAGGCTCCAGAATGTGTCACTGGACCTTATATTCATCTGAGGAAGGTGTGAAAGCGGGTAGCAGGTGGCCTCACAGGACAGAAAAACCGGGTCCCTGGAGCAATTTTATCTCCATTATAATAAAGAAGGCATAAAGATAAAACTGTAGATTTATTATTTAATGGTTTTCTGCTGTAACTTGACCAAATAACTAAAGAAAAGCAGTAACTTAGGAAACAATTCTGTTGGTCCTATGTGAAAAGGTCTGCCATTGGCATTTGACACATATTTCACTGGATGTCTCGCAGAACAGGAATAAAGGTTAATGTAATGAAACCTGTTTAACTTAATGTTTTTCAATGTTAAGTTCATCTACTGAGGCCACCTAGTGGCAAATGTTATAATTGTGTGTATTGCTAGTTCACTAACGCCGTCTTGTGGTCACTTTTATTACTACAACTTGTTTACCAGAAAGGAAGAAAGCCTGTTGATCCATCTGCTCTGAAAGCAGCACTTTTTTGTCGTGTTTTCTTTAATCTAAGTGCAAAACGGCATCGTCTGTAAGTACTGTTCTAATTTGCCTGTCATATAAATCATAATTGGTAACCCGTTGACATGTTTTATGCGAAGTTAGACATTTTACTTGTGTTAGCCAAATGTTAGCCTAGATGGCATTAATTTTCTGTACCTTTGTGTGTTATAGTTTTACACGATTCTCATTAAACCCTGCTAAAGAACCGAATGCAGTGCTTCTTGGTGGACGAATGGGAAAGTGTTTAGCTACCTGTATAGCTGAGTTACTGCTGAAGGCCACAGTGCTTAGCGAGGCCAGGACAGTTAACATCGCCCCTACTGACCACAGGGTTGACTCCAAACATTTACATCTTTTATCATGAAATCTACTACAAAAATTTTACAGAATGAAATTGAAGCAAACTTTCTCTTCTACGCACCATCAGCAGGAGGATTTATGGAAGAACCACACGGCCATTGACTGATTGAACCGAAGCCGCCATGTTTGCCTCAGATGGCAGAGCTAAAGATTAGGAGCTGGTAGAAGAAGGCCTGGGCTGCCCTTAAGCCTAGGAATGATTCATCTACTAATTATTGAGAAGATTATAAATAATCCTCCTCATGCCATCAGGTCTGAAAAAGACCTAAATAAGCTGTTGACTAGTTCAGCTGTTGCAGCAGCGGTGCATCTAAAATTCAAGGTAACAGCCCTGATCTGCACCAGAACCCTGCAGGTATAAGTGGTCCATTGATAGGACAGTTGATTTGGTACGCCTGGGTTCTCTTGTGATGGTACCTCTGTCTGAACTTGTCCAGGTTGTAGTAGAGACAGGAAGTATTTTTGCCGCATTTCTGACCCCACAGGATGCAGGTGGTGTCAATGACGCTACCGTACAGAACAGGGCCAGGCAGGAACGCTGCGCAAGGAGAAACATAAGACACAGGTATTTGGTACCGAGGGGTTCCCTTAAGAATTGATCCAGTTCAACATTCGGGAGGTTCTGACAAATCCATGACTTACCCAGGACTCTGAACAGCATGTACTGAACTCCCACTGCAAAGGACTTATCCTCAGGCGGAACCGTCCTGTAGCAAACACACATGTAGAATGGGTCAGAGAACACAGGATAAAAGCTTGATTAGAACCTGAGAACAGAAACACAGCTTGAGATCCATCTGGTTCTGATCTGAAGTCTCCAGAGATCTGATGATTTGGTGTTAGAACCAGAACCAAACAGTTTCTGGTCTCTTTAGCTCTTTTCTGATCTCTCTGGAAACCTGAGAATATCAGAAACTGTTGGTTCTTTTAAATCAGGACTGAAAGCAGAGGTTTGGACCCAAGCTGTTAGCATGATCCCTCCTCAAGGATTAAAGCACAGATTTTCTTTTATATTCATGGTTCTCAGATCCTAAAATTTTCCTTGTTTTAATTTCTTTGGGTTCTCTTTAAAGGTCTGGAAACTGAGATCTGCTGCTGTAAATAACTCTGACTGGATTTTGGATCTGATTTCCTCCCTTTAATCAGAATCATCTTTATTGTTCACGTTTCCATTGCTCACATCTTATCACCATGACCTGAAACGATTACAGTATGTTGCCAGATGTGCCTGAACAGATCGGTGCTGCAGTGATGGGAATGAAAGGAGCTTCCAACTGAAACCACCAAGCAGACTGAGGTCAAAGATCCGACTGTGTCCATCCAATCAGTGCACATCCAGAACAGAACAGGAAATAGGAAGTCAGCTCATACCTGAGGATCATCATGTATGACGGTGTCTGGGCGAAGGAGATGATGAAGCAGGTGAGAGACAGCAGGACCATGAAGGGCAGCAGCAGGTGAGAACATCCGCTGCCACAGGTTCCTTGGCGGGCTCCACCTAAACCTTCATTGATGCAGGTGCAGTTGGTGAAGTTCTATCAAAAGAGATGGATGGCGACAAAATGACATTTCCATGGCAACAACTGGTTATCTATACAAACAATAAGGCAGTTTCTGACAGAAAGTGAGAAGGAAAAGAAAGAGCTGAAAATTTAGATCAATAATCAACAAAAAACATGACTAAAATCTCAGCAGCAGCAAAACTGATGGTTCCTCTGGCATTATGTTGGTTCCTCTGGTGTTTTGTTGGTTTCTCTAGATTTCTCTTGGTTCCTCTGGTTTTCTGTTGGTTCCTCTGGTGTTTTGTTGGTTCCTCTGGTGTTCCGTTTGTTCATTGGATGTTTTGTTTGTTCCTCTGGTGTTCTGTTGGTTCCTTTGGTGTTCTGATGGTTCCTGTTGTGTTCCGGTGGTTCCTTTGGTATTCTGATGGGTCATCAGGTGTTCTGTTGGTTCCTCCGGTGTTCTGTTGGTTCATTTGATGCTCTGATGGTTCCTCTGGTGTTTTGTTTGTTCCTCTGGTGTTATGTTTGTTGCTCTGGTGTTGTGTTTGTTGCTCTGGTGTTCTGTTGGTTCCTTTGGTGTTCTGATGGTTCCTCTTGTGTTCCGGTGGTTCCTTTGGTATTCTGATGGGTTCTCAGGTAGTCTGTTGGTTCCTCATGTGTTCTGATGGTTCCTCTGGTGTTCTGTTGGTTCCTCTATGGTTTTCTGTTGATACCTCTATGGTGTTTTGTTGATTCCTCTATGGCTCAGGTGTCAAACCGGTTCCAGAAAGGGCCGTGTGGCTGCAGGTTTTCTTTCCAATCAAGCAGTAGCATACCAGACTCCAGTCATCTCATCAAGTCATCATGTTCAGATTGGACTCCCTTGATGAGATGACTGGAGTCTGGTGTGCTACTGCTTGGTTGGAAAGAAAACCTGCAGCCACACGGCCCTTTCTGGAACCGGTTTGACACCCCTGCTCTATGGTGTTCTAATGGTTCCTTTGGTGTTCTGTTGGTTCATTTGATGCTCTGATGGTTCCTCTGGTGTTTTGTTTCTTCCTCTGGTGTTCTGTTTGTTGCTCTGGTGTTCTGTCGGTTCCTTGGGTGTTCTGATGGTTCCTCTG